TATGGGAAAGTGTTCTTTCTTTAATTCTTCTGTATTTGAGCTACTCTTTCTTATATGCCTTGGGAATATTTCTGGTTGCTCCAAACAAAGATACAAACTTCGGAATGCATTGAACTGTCATGGTGATTGAGCAATTTACTCCAATTTTTGGCACATGTGACACGTTTGTAAAGTTCGAACCCTAAACTTACATATGTCTAAACTGAACTAAAGAATTTTCCTTAAAGACAATTCTTTTAGATCATTTAGGCAAGATTACGATGCATCTAGACATTCAACACTCGTTATCTTTAAGACAGAGTCTCAAGCTGTTTGATTGTTTTGTTTTTCATAGACTGTAGATCACCAAATGGTAGGATAATTTTTAATTTTTTGGACAGCACGTGGAACTAAAGGGACAATATGAAGCCACAGAGAAGCCTCAGTCCAAATATCAAATATTCGAAATTATGGCCGCCTGAATAGAAGGCAGAATTTTAGAACATTTTAACCTAGGCAAGAGAGTAAGCCCAATATAAGGTGGAGAAGACTGCATAATGTAGATCCCTTTAATTTAAACATGTAGCCAGATAAATATTATTACAAAATCAAATCAGGAAGTATAGAAGGGCGTACATCAAGCACAGAGATAGTGAGAAATAAATACAAAATTTTTGATGGAATACTTGAAAGGAATATGCAGCTTAAGAGATTTCTTGGCCTATAAGAAGAAAATATTAAAACGAATTGAAAGTAAAAGGGGTGAGGTTGTGAACTTGGTTAAAATTGCTTAGGATAGGGTCCAGTGCAAGTTTCTTGAGAGCACGGTAATGAACCTTCGGATTCCATACCAGACTGAGAGCTTCTTGGCTAGTTGAACGAATTGAAGATTCTGAACCTGGTCAATAGAATTTGTCAATAAGCAAGTTAATTTGTATGTATTATAAGTATCTGCTGGTCCGCTGAACCACTGTCAGCTGCTGAAGAAAGACTCTTCTGTATAAACTTAGTTATGAGATAGTTCTCAGAAGTTACCAGCGAAGTTTGGTCGAGAAATGTTAAAAGTCCTTGTAACCTACATTAAATTGAAAAGCAGTTCTCTTTGAGAGATGCCAAGTGTAGCGCTTAACATTTTAAGTTTTAAGTTTGGCTACAAAGAATTGTTTTGTGACGCTTTAAAATAAAAGCAACATAAATTCTGTAACGTGACCAAATAATTTATTTCTGAACTTCGTGTGTCTTGTGCTAATTCTCTACATATCTTGGATGTGGGGGAAAATGTTGAAGATATGTGTACATGTGAAAACCAGAGAATCGGAGAAAGTTACATAACGACCCTTTTATAATGATATTAAGATTACTAAATGAGGCGGGTTAGATGGACGGAGGTGAAATACACATGAGAAAATTAGAAGATGTTATAAAGATCTGGTCGGAAATCGTCAGGACAAGAGAAAACTTGGGTGACGTTGGCCTGCTTTTAACACTAATATTACAATTTATCTTGAGATATATATTTCAAAACGGACTGAATTGAGCTCTCTAAAGGTAACTCCATATACGGGCGTTTGTGAATAAGATTATGAATTTTTGGTTCCGTAAATAGTTACACGAAATTTCTTGACGAACTCAATAACTATGATCTTTTGGGGAAGATTTTTTACCGAATATATTCCGTAGCGTGGAGCATTTATCATTTATGTATATGATTCTAATTTTCAGATTAACTTGCCAAACTAACACAAATGTTGAAACCAATATATTACTCTTCTTACACTTACTCATGGCGCTGAGCCCTTCTTGAGGAGCCGTCAATTCTGCAGCTACTCAAGAATTTCACAGCATTTTATGGAACCCGAAGGTTCATTACCGTGTTCACAAGAGCCCTCCACTGGTCTATATCCTGAGCCAGATCAATCCAATCCATACCATCCCATCCTATCTGTCTAAGATCCATTTTAATATAGTCCACCCACCTACGCCTTGGTCTTCCCAGTGGTCTCTTTCCTTCTGGCTTTCCCACCAATATCCTATCCGCATTCCTCGTCTCCCCATTCGTGCTACATGCCCTGCCCACCTCATCCTCTTTGACTTGATCATTCTAATTATACCTAAAATATACGTATTACGCACTATACCCAGAGGTGTAGCATGTGTTCTGAAATATTTGTTAGCCATTTTATCATTTTTCTTTATTTCAGGCAAGGAATCGTTCAGATGAAATTTCATGATATATTAGCAAGTAACAGAAGCTTAGCGTAGCTCCTTTGACCTACTCCTTCCGTAGTAATATATTGAAGCAATTTATTTAGCTTACGGGATTTGGTTGACATAACAATCAGTGTAGGGATGGCTTAACCAAGGGGTGGTATGACCTCATCAACAAACACCCACTGTGTGGTGTGCTTTTATTAGGCATCATTAATCTTCCTCTAGGAACTCAAATTTTTAACACACTTTCCATTTGTTTAACAAAAAGTATTTCTTTCCTTAAGCGTCTCCGTAAAATCTCACCAGAGAGAGATGGCATGTGCTTAGTTTTAAAACGTCAGCTGTGACTAACGTTCAAGCAGAAGTGAAGCTTTCATACGAATGAAATCGAGATTAGAATATTGCGGAAAGTTCCGCTCTGCTGGGGGCTAAAGTGAGTCCTTGCTTTTGGTAATACCAAACTTGGCGCGCACGTTTTACTCTTCTCTGTGCCGTTCTTTTATAGCTCGTTTAACAAAATAACATGGCCGGAATATGTGTCATGTAAACAGGAAGTGAAATATTTGTACTTAATTTTGTTTGTAAAGACCGCAACATAAGAGACCACTTGTTAGGTGTAAGCGTAGACTGGAAGATGGTCGTACTGTGAGGATGGACCTTAGAATAATAAACTGCGAAGTTGAAGAATGGTTTCAACTGGTTCAGAATATGGTTCAGTGATAGATTATGTGAAGTCTGTTATGATTTTTCTCGTCCTACAGTAGTATCAGTTTTTTAATGATCAACTTTCAGTTTCCCAAGGAAAACCACCTTTATGTTACTTCTGATGGTAAGGGCTGTATAGCGTCGAATGGCGTGAATTTTTGCGAATGATAAACTGAGACGAAAATAGAAGGAAGAGTTGTGTATTATATTAATTTCATATTCCAGCTAGTGGCCTAGGTGGAAAGACGAATCACTAATTTCGATTGCGTCTTTCTGTATGTTGTAACGTATATTTTCTTATATAGGCAGCAAATTCCTCCCGAATTACCAGATTGCACGATAATATAATTCAGAAGATCAGAACATAAAAATCCCATACATATGTCGTGGTTTTCCTTGGTCGCTACTGAAGAAAATAAACGACAGTGCCTTGAATGGGTTGCTTCCATTCCTTTCACAATGTTTAGCCTACTTTCCTTGTTTTCAGAAAATATAAGTAACTTAATGTCACCGCCATGCTGTCTGTGTTTCTGCGTGTCTCCATGCCTGTGTCCACCTCCCCCCCCCCCATTATCTTTCGAATGCCAGAACCAATATCTAGGAAAGTTTGTCTAACATGGCACCTGAGCCCATCTCAAAGGCGTACTTTATAAAGCCCTCTCTTCAGTCAGTGTATCTGTATGTGTATTCCCCTGTCGTTGCTAGGCAGCGGCATGGTAAAAACGTTGTCGCGGCAACGAATACACACGCAACAATAGAAGCATTGATGCACGCGTCGACTTCTATGCGATCCGCGTCTTATCATAGGGAAGTGGGCAATTACTTCTTCCCAGAACTTCTTGTTTTTAATTCCTTTTTGACAAATCAAAACCACTCGACGCTATTAAACCAACGGAGATTGAGACATGTCCTACGAGTAAAGTGCATCAGCAAACATCAACTCAACTGATGAAACAACTTCAGCCAGTACATCCTGTACTTAATTATATAATTAAGCACTATGCACGTAAACCAGCTTTCGTCACCTGTCGCAATACAGAGCAAAAAATCATCGCCTTCGTGTCGATATCTCTGCAGCAGTTCTGAGGTGATGGCTTTTCGCTGACCTTTGTGGTCTTCGGTCAATAACCGTGGGACCCAAGGAGCACAAACTTTCCTATAGCCCAAGCTTTCAATCATCTCCTGTACTGCACTGTGCCCTATTCCAAGTTTTCGGGCTATTGTGTCCACAGTCACATGCCTGTCATCTTCAATGATCTCATCCACTCTTTCCTTGTTGCGTCCAGTTGAGGCTGTTCGAGGACGACCGCTCCGAGGCTCATCTTCGATGCTGGTGTTCCCATCTTTAAAATGTTTCACCCATCTTCGAACACTGCTCGCACCCATGCACACACTTCCATAAGCATGCTGAAATCTTTGGTGAATTTCTACAGCAGGGATTTCCTCTCTCACAAGAAATTCGATGACAGCACGCTGGCGAAACGACATATCGTTGTCGGCCATTTTGTTAGGAGTGATACTGGTCACAAGATGCAAGCTATTGACGTCACAAGACACTCAAGGTTAACACAACAGCTGGTTCCACCCACGACCATACTCTCTTTCCTCTGCTCTTCCCAGGTTGCATGCAAAAAAAAAAGTTGCTCATGATTTTCGGTACGACCTATGTAAAAGGGAGTGGAGGTGTAGCTCCAGTATTCTTGACCTTCAATAGATTGAGATAAGTGGTCAGCTTCACGTCGCGGCCTCTTTACCCCCCCCCCCCGGGTACGCTTTGGATAGGAGGCTGCGTGGACCCAAGAACGAATTTGGCTCTGTGGAGAAGAAAAATCTCTTGTCCCTGACGGGAATCGAAACCTTTTGTGCAGCCTGTAGCCTAGTGACAACACGGAACGAGATACACCGGATGTTTTCCGAATTTAAATCGGGATTGTAACCACTCAGCGGTGATGTTTTATAGAACGATGCAGAAGCAGGCGAGGCTGGAACGAAGCACGGACATATGCAGCTGTGTCTGATTGTCTACCTTGCGCCATTCGGACGTCATCTGTGCTGTGTTTGGAGTACGATATCTCTTCCTTGAGGAGTATTGGTTGTACTTACAGGTCTCATGGATCCGACACCGTGACATCCACATCCTTACAGTAGGGGGCTACACGTACACGAGCGATCAGCGCTTTCAGGCGAACCACCACAGAGACAACGAAGACTGGACGTTGCAAATCAAGTGGGCCCAGAAAAGGGACGCGGGCATCTATGAATGCCAGATCAGCACGCAACCAGTACGCAGCTATTTCGTTAACCTCAATATTGTCGGTGAGTTCACGTAATAATTAAGCTTTACTTATGTAGAATAAAAGCCTAATTTGTTTCCGAGAAGTGTTGTGACAACCTTCCACAAACTGGAGTACAAGAGAATACAGTCCAGAAAAACACTTATGCAGTCTAGTATCAGTAAAGTTACAAGAGTCTGAGTTCAGTTGTGTTTTGTTTTACCAAGTTTAAATACCACAGGGTTGGCTGATACTGTGTTTTGTTTTACCAAGTTTAAATGCCACAGGGTTGGCTGATACTGTGTTTTGTTTTACCAAGTTTAAATACCACAGGGTTGGCTGATACTGTGTTTTGTTTTACCAAGTTTAAATGCCACAGGGTTGGTTGATACTGTGTTTCGTTTTACCAAGTTTAAATACCACAGGGTTGGCTGATACTGTGTTTTGTTTTACCAAGTTTAAATGGCACAGGGTTGGCTGTTGGCTGATATTGTGTTTTGTTTGACATAGCTTAATTACCACAGGGTTAACTGAGAAGTACGTAAAGAAGATAATTCTCTGTTTCTTCTGTTGTGTATGTCTTGTAGAGTGTCTTGAGTAATTTGTTATGCCCTTCTAAAGAAATTATATATTTGCCCTAGAAGCCTTTATCACGTACAATGAATACATATAATCGTTTACATTTTCGCAGACATACGCGTTTCGATCCTCAAATGTCCTTCTTCAGTGTCTTCGTATGATGTCAGAACCACTGAATATAATTTTCGAAGAATGAACTTTATATTATTTTTACAATGTATTGCGTGTGAGAGAGTACTTACGTACCCTCACTCCCTTACCACAGTTTGCTTCCCTTCACTTAATTTTTGGATCTTTTCCCCCACACCTTCAATTCGCCTTATTTATCATTTTCCTAACCCTTTTCCTAAAGATACTTGGTTGTTTCCTTGGCTTTAGATACTGTGCTACTTAGTAAATTGTTCACATGTTTCCTGCAATCAAGGTTAGCCGCTGCGATACTCATTAACGCCATCACAAACTTCCTGCCCATCCTCACGGAATCCCACAATTCCATGGAGAAAAGTTTGGAAATAAGTGGAATATTAAACCAGCTTCCTTATAAAGGGCACCAATCAGTGCCTAATCACGACTAGATACTACATTTGGGACAAGAACTATATTTGCTTCCGACTGTTACGGAAACCCACAATTCCATGGACCTCGGTTTTGAATTCGCTAAGGAAAGGTAGTCCGTCTCTCGGGATTGCTCATCAATCAGTGAATAATCTTACATCCTTAATGTGTTCCTCTAGGCTTGTAGCTTGGTTGGTGAATACTAGCGTTTCGGAGGGACATATTGCTTCCATGCTCAAGACTTCTACACTGAAGATTGTGGCAGAATTTTCCTCCAAAATGTTAGTGCGCACCTACCAGACCACACGGTTTCATAGTCCAAAAGACCACCGTTAGGTCCTTAATTCCCGTGAAAATCAAAGACCTTATTATCTAAATCATAAATGTGGTACCCATTCTCACAGAAACCCACAGTTCCGTGAGACACTATTTGAAAATCACCGTCTCACAGTCTCACTCTCGGAGGTGCGTCAGATTCTCTTAGCCGATAACTGGGCTTCCATTCCCACCAGCTGATCTATAGTTTACTGCAAGCGCTGCGTTGCCTGCCTAATTTAATCAGTTCCAGATCGAAACATCCTCACGGTTTATTAATCAGTCATGACTTAGAGATAGGCATGCGACTGCGCGGTCTTGCAGTACAAGCCTCCTGTAACATAACTGTCATTTCAGTAGACGTAAATATTGTTACGCTGTCTCCTGCAGTCTGGCTTTTTCGTAAAAATTAGTTAAAATGGCAGTTTTTTTAACGGTCATGTAGTTATAATATTGGAACATGTGTGTAGTCGAAAGAGTTAAATTAATTTTAGTTCAGGAAACTAAAAAACACAGTTTTATTATTACTGTTATCGTCTGCGAATTCGGGCTACGAAAAACATTCATAAATTGCTTCCAGCTCACTCTGGTATTCAGGTCGTACAGCTTTCAAAAATTCTTCGCGGTGAACCGTAATTAATGCAGGTTACTGCAATGAAAGCGAGCCATCGATTTTACCGTTTCACAAACGTATGTATTACGTAGTCTTTCGTAATATGCAGACCAATAAAAGCATATCCAGTTTCACATAAACCACGTCAGAATTTAACAAGCAATGAATGCTGCATGGGCCTGCGTTTGAATATCTATTAAAAATATAATTTTTAGGTCACCAAATGTGAGCCCTTGCGAATATTGGATGAGTGTTATAAGAGCCGTTTGAACTGAGAGACAAATATCGTGTTCAGTTACGAAGTGCTCGTACATGCCAGCAACATATTTCTAAATAAATAAAATTTCTAAATTCTAAATATTTCCGTGACTTTTAAACGGAAACACCGACAATAATTTAAAATGAATCTGTATATTTAAATTTGGATGCTGCTATGTAAAGACCATACTTTCTCTATGTAGATTATTTATTATACCGTCTCATTTCTAAAAAGGAAACTTTATGTACAAAGGTATAACTTTTATTCTTTTCTGTATTATTATGAAATATGATTATTCTCATTAATGCAGGAACAGATATTGATGGGTTGTATTAACCTGCTGCTAAGGACACTATAGATCAGTGACAAGGCGTGAGGCCTCCAAAGGTGTTAGGGAGGCCGCACACCAACTGCGTCAAAACAAGTATCAAGACATGAGACATTTTTTTTTTCCAATTCTCTTATTGCGGTATGGAGTCCAACTGGGTCCACTCGGCACGGCAGCCACTGATTGGCCTATTGTAGCCTGCCCCGGGTGATTATGATGTTGGAGAATTTGGTGGAATGAAGATTGGCAGGGGGAACCGAAGTACTCGTAGAAAACTCGCCCCAGCGCCACTTTCTCCACCACAAATTCCACTTGACCAGACCCGGGATTGAACCCGGGCCGCCGCGGTGGGAAGCCAGTGACTAACCGCTTGAGCTATGGCGCGGCCCTCGCTACTAAGTAACCGAAGTAGTATTGTTGACCGCTTTATACGGGTTTTTAAAGTTCCATATCTCAATTCTTTGAGGAACCTGTCACAGTAGAGACATTTTACAAGGTAACTGTGCAAATATGACAAAATTTAATGAAGGTTTGGAATTATAGAGGAAGGAAATATGAACTAAAAAAGACGGTGCAAAGATATTGCACATAAGATAGATCTTACTATGTAACGTTGTATTGTTGCACGGTAAACCATTGATGGTTGCTTAATACCGTACAAAAATGAAATTCATCCGACTGATAAATCATGTTTCGCAGTTCACCTTAATTGACATTCTGCTTTTGGGCGCATGAAGATACACCTATGCAGATAACGACCAGTGGCGGGCTTTTGTGATCATGGTAATGAACTTTTGAGTTCCGTAAAAACAGGAAAATTCTGAAGTACTTAAGCGAATTTTATCTTCTCAATACGGACTCTGCTCCATGTAATTAGTTAACTAGTACCATGTAGTCAGTCTGTTACAAAACTCTGTTTCTTTTTAGGGTTCCTCTTTGGAATATGGCTGTACTGGAATTAATGTTATTCCTCATGAAGGCAATAAGAAGGCATAATTTTGTTTCGCGAAGCGCAATGTATTCTTCCTTTCCCCTGATACGAAACATGTTTCAAAGATTTAGGAGAAAAGGAACACAGTACAATCGTATCCTGTGAAGCCTTTCTTCAAAATGGCGGGATTAATTCCCCGAGGGAAGGGACTCATCATCTCAGACTCGGATTGCTCAAGGAAGCGAGAGAGCACTCAATTATGCTTTGATTTGTAGTGAACTGTGACCTGCACGGCGAAATTGTCGTATCTCTGCCATGTAGTTACTCTTGTGAGACTGACATTTTGAATTGAAATCAAACTGGAATATATTATTTAATCCTGGGACCTGAAAACTTAGTTGATTTTACGAAAGTTTCCTCTTGTCTCTTCTCTTTGTGTCTTTTCTCGTGGCTTAATATGTTGTCTCTGGAGTTCTATAGCTGATTCTATGGCACCCTTAACAGTATTTCTTCCAAGTACCAGTGGAAACTTGCAACAAAGACTTTCGTTTGAACTTCAGTCAGTACCATTTAAGAGAGATAAGAACAGCAGACCCACATCTGTAGTCCATATTTCTCAGAGTATTGCACCATTCACGGATTTGGAAAATGTTGACATTCATCAGCTTGCACAATATATCATTTCACGTTTAAGTATTGAAAATTAGACACTGTAAGGTTTAAATTTATATTATTTTTATAATATAGTTTGTTAAAACGTGTGTAAAATACGTATTAATATCTCAGATACAGGTAAGGTAAAGTTGTCCCTGTGCTTAACTAATTAAACACTGCGCCATGAAGGCGTATGGGAGAGTGGGTGTATAGATCCACATTTTCTTGACCTCGGCACAGGTTGGAGGTGAGTGGTCAGCTTCACGCCCGGTCGCTTTACCCCCGGTACCCATTGTGTAGGAAGTTGGGTGGCCCCCAGAGTCGGTCTGGACGATTGGAAAAGTGAAAATTCTTGACCCTACCGGGACTCGAACTCCGACCCCTCGGTCGTCCAGACCATAGCCAGTCGCTATACTGACTACGTTATCCCGGCTCCTAATATCTCAGATATACAGCATTTTATATAGAACTAACAGGGAAGAGTTTTAGTACTTTCTGGGACGCCACTCGGTGTAGTTTGGTGAAGGCTTAATGAAGTTTCGGAGGACGGTGTAGCCTCCAGGTTCAGGGTCAAGCAGTAAAAATGTGCTTGCTAGTTTCTTGCACACTTTGGCTCTAAAATAAGTTTCAGTACTATGCTTCCTTGGAAGTCTTTATAAACTTCTTCCCCTGTGCGCTGTCACGTCTCAGAAGATAGAATTCTTTATAAGCGCCGCCAAGTCTCACTTACCAGTTGTCTCCGTCATCATCAAAGCATCGTTACCAATGGATTCATAGAGTAAATAGACAATGAAAGTCGGTACTTGCTG